TTTGACAATCTTTCATACCAAGCTCTAGGAGCTTGTTTTAAACCATAAAGAGCTTTTGTCAATTTTAAAACATGATCCGGAAAATTTGAATCTTCAAAACCTGGAGGTTGTTCCACGTACACTTCTTCTTTTATAAAACCATTTAAAAATGCACTTTTAACATCCATTTGATATAATTTAAATTCATTGAAACATGCAAATGCTAATAACATTCTAATTGCTTCCATCCTAGCTACGGGAGCGTATGTTTCATCATAGTCTATGCCTTCTTCTTGAGTATAGCCTTGAGCAACAAGTCTAGCCTTGTTCCTCACTATATTACCACTTTCATCAAGTTTATTTCTAAAAACCCATCTAGTACCTACAGTAGATTTATCACTAGGCCTTTCAACTAATGTCCATACTTTACTTCTCTCAAATTGATTTAATTCTTCTTGCATAGCCATAATCCAATGTTCATCTTTTAATGCTTCTTTGATGTTCTTAGGCTCTATGCATGAAATAAATGCAACATAATTACAGATATTTCTAAGAGAAGATCGAGTAGTTACCCCTTTTGATAGATCACCTATAATTTCACCATCCTTGACATAGTTGTACTCTCTTGGAAAAGATACTTCCCTTTCTTCAATGGTTGGATTCTCGAGGGGATCATGAGTTTCCTCATCTTTTGTTTCTTCCTTTGATGATGATTCTCCAACGTAATGTCTAACGTCATTTGCTTGTACAATACCTACATCATCATTAACAGAAGAATCCTTCCTCGAAGGGGATTATCATCGAAAACAACATGTATAGACTCTTCTACAACTAAAGTTCTTTTATTAAATACACGATAAGCTTTAGAATTTAAGGAGTAACCCAGAAAAATTCCTTCATCACTTTTAGCATCAAATTTACCAAGATTTTCTTTACCGTTGTTTAAAACAAAACATTTACATCCAAAAGGATGAAAATAGCTAATGTTAGGCTTTTTATTTTTGAGAATTTCATATGGAGTTTTCTTTAAAATTGGCCTAATCATTACTCGATTTACAACATAAAAAGCGGTATTTGTGGCTTCCGCCCAAAAATATTTTGGCAAATTATTTTCACAAAGCATGGTTCTAGCCATTTCTTTTAAAGTTCGATTTTTCCTCTCAACAACTCCATTTTGTTGAGGGGTTCTAGGTGCTGAAAAATTGTGGCTAATACCGTTAGAATTACAAAACTCAATAAATCCAAGATTTTCAAATTCAGTTCCATGATCACTTCTAACACTAGTGATAGAGTAACCTTTTTCATTTTGGATTATTTTTGAAAATGTGATGAAATTTTCTAATGCTTCATCTTTAGTACTTAAGAATAGAACCCAAGTGTATCTAGAATAGTCATCTACCAAGACAAATGCATATTGTTTTCCTCCCAAGCTAGTAGTTCTAGTTGGCCCAAAAAGATCTAAATGGATCAATTGTAATACTCTACTAGTTGATACATCATTAATAGATTTAAAAGAAACTCGTTTTTGTTTTCCTTTAGCACAAGCATCACAGATTTTATCATTATCAAATTTAAGCTTAGGCAACCCTCGAACTAAATCACCTTGAATTAGCCGTTGCAAAACACTCATACTAGCATGACCTAGTCTCCTATGCCATAACCAACTATCATGCTCATCCTTAGCAACCAGGCATAAATTAGTCATATCAATAGAATCTAAATGCACCATGTAAATGTTTCCTATTCTATGACCAACAAGCATAATCCGATTAGATGCAATGTCAATGACTTTACAACCATTAATTTCAAATAAGACATTGAATCCTTTATCGCATAATTGACTAATACTCAATAGATTATGCTTTAATCCATTCACATATAAAACATTTTTAATTTGTATGGAAGAGGTATACCTATTGTACCAATACCTTCAATGTGACCTTTTGAATTGTCTCCAAAAGTCACTTCTCCTCCATTTTGGCGTTAAGCTCAATGAACCGGCTTTTGTCTCCGGTCATATGTCTTGAGCATCCACTATCAAGGTACCATGAGTTTGAATTTGTTTCCCGTGCCTTGTAGCAATGCTCCTTTCCCTACAAACATAGATTAATTTTTGATTTTTGGTACCCAAATTCTTTTGGGTCCATATTCATTAGTTTCCAAAATCCTAGTCCCTTTAGGTATCCATTTGTGTAGGATTTTTATCTTTAGTAGTAATGAGTTCTTTAGGAACCCACACACTTCTAATGATTTTTCCATTTGAGGTTCTTTGGGGACCTCTATGATTGTAGTTTCTAAAACTTTTTCTAACAAAGTTGGATTTGAATTTTCACCTTTTTCAAAAAGTTTTGTTCCAACTTTATCAAAAGAAGTTTTAAGATCATCAATTTTCTTTTGATGATCATCATTGATCTTTGAAAGTAAATTTTGCAAATCTAAATTTTTCTTTTCAAACTCTTCTAGTTTGATTTGCAAATTTTTGATTTTACTTTCAAGATCGTTGTTGGTTTTGGATATGAGTTTGTTTTCATTTTTCAATTTTGAAACATCATTTTTATATTTTAAAAACAATTTCTCATAATCCGAAGCCAACCCATTGTACTCCTCAAATAACTCATCATAAGATAAATCATCAAATCAGATGAGTTAGAGGTTACCTTAGAATCTTCCCCGAATGCCATCAAGCACAAGTTTGCTACTTCTTGTTCCTCTTCATCGGAACCTTCTTCATCGCTCCATGTAGCCACATGAGCCTTGTGCTTATTCTTTGATTGACCCTTTTTCTTCAATTGTGGGCAATCATATTTGACATGCCCCGGCTTTTTGCATTCATAGCAAATGATTGGGTCCTTCTCTTTTGGTTCATTTTTGAGGCCTTCGTTTCGTTTGAATTTTCTTCCTTGGTAAGGTCTCATCATTTTTCTGAACCGTTTGGCAAACAATGCCATTTCCTCGTCATCATCATCATTAGAATCACTCTCATCTTTTGTGGATTTGAGAGCAACTCCAATGTTTTTCTTCTTCTCCTTCTCCTTTGGTGTCTCTTCAACTTTATCAAGGTCCACCTCATCTTCAAGCATCATCTCATGAGTGAGGAGTGAACCGATAAGTTCTTCAAGAGTTAAGGACGATAGGTCCTTAGACTCGATGATTGCCGTCTTCTTTGATTGCCATGATTTTGGGAGGGAGTAGACTAACTTCCTCACAAGCTTTTCATTTGAGATGATCTCTCCATATGATTTGAGACCATTGACAATCGTTGAAAATCTATCCGTCATAGCTTTGATGTCTTCATTTGGTTTCATCCTGAAATTTTCATAGCTATGCGTTAGAATACTAATTTTTGATTTCTTTACCTCATCTGTACCTTCATGTGTGACTTGAAGTTTGTCCCATATTTCTTTGGCGGTTGTACACGATGAAACTCTTCCGTATTCATCTGGTCCAAGAGCACAAAAAATAATATGGATGGCTTTGGAGTTGAGCTGGAACATTCTTGTCTCTCCTTCACTCCACAACCTTGGATGAGTGAGAGGTTTGATGTATCCTTCTTCTACAGCATTCCATGCTCCCATGTCACTTGCTTGAATGAAGTACATCATTCTATTCTTCCAATAGGCATAGTTAGCTCCATTGAAGAAAGGAGGCTTGTTGACGGGCATCGAATCAAGACCGGAGTCGAAGTTTGAAGTGGAGGCCATTGATGACTTTGTAATCGATGTAACTCTTCCCGGATCGACTCAAGAGGCGATTAAACCTTCAAATGAGTTAGGCTCTGATGCCAATTGTTGAGTTAATCGAATGACGAAATTGGCCAAGAGGGGGGTGAATTGGCAATAAAAATTTTGTGGAAGCTTTTGCAGAAAATTGAAAGTAATTGCACAGCGATTTACAGTGGTTCGACTTTCTCAAACAAAGTCTACGTCCACTACCTTAGCTATCCACACTAAGGATTTTCCAACAAATTCACTAATTTGTTCTTTCTTTTGAGGCCAAAGAGATAACCTTACAATTCCCTCAAGAGTATACCCCAACTCTTGAGAACACTCTTTTCTCAAAGAGAAGATTACAAATTTGCAAACTTACAAGAAAACCTCACAAGGTAAGATGTTTGCACAATTCTAGAACAAAGAAAAGAACACTCAAAGATGAATACAATTGAGCACAAAAAGTGTTCTTGAAAGCAAAATGAATATTGAATGAAAATGGGCTTGAAATGCTCAAACTTGAGGTTTGATGCTTTCTCTTTGATTCTCTCTTGATTCTAGTTGCTTGATGTTTCTTGTTATTGATCAATGGCTTCTAAGCTTGCTTAAATACACCTTGAATCACTTCTGAACGTTGGGGATAATTAGAGAAGATATTATAGCCGTTTTAGTGTGAAAACATTTAATAAAACAGCTTGGACAGTGGAAGGAATCGGTTCCCTATCATAGGGAATCGGTTCCCTAAGTGTAAAATTCAAATATTTCGACCGTTGAACAGGGGGGAATCGGTACCCCATTGGGGGGAATCGGTTCCCTCCGATCATTCTGGAAAACTCGGAGCCAAACCATTCAGGGGGGAATCGGTTCCTCCTATGGGGGGAATCGGTTCCCTCTGAGTATTCTGGAATTTTTGGCTTTGAATTGGTTCGAAATACTTTGTAAAATATTTTGAAATTGTTTTATGATTAAAACTTAATTTTACACTTAAGTAAGGATCAAAAATGATTTTTGAAATATTTGGAGTAATGTTTTGATATTCGAATAGTTATATCGAATATACTTAGAAAATCATTTGGAAAATCTTAAAATCCATTTAACTTAATTTGTTATATCGAAATATTAAAATGTTTCAACAAATTCACTGTAGAATGAATAAATCTGCCCTAACAGGAAACAAATCCCCTTAACAAAAGAACAATGATTCATATATATTCTATTTTTCGAAAGAACAGTAAAATAAAATGGTGCATTTCAATGGCACCATGGATCTTTACAGAAATAAACAAGCAGCCAAAAAAAAAACTTACTATCATATGTTAAAAAATATATTTATATTTATTATAGTGTACATAGTACGAATTTTTCAGCAGCACAGAATGGTATAACCTCCACAACATTATGCTCGTTAAAACAACCAATGTTTCTTCTTCGGTTTTGGAGCCGGGGCACCTGGAAAAGATAGGTTAGAATATTTTTATCCTTTGAATATCCAAAATCCAGAGAGGCTCAACCTAAAATCATATTTTCACCCTAACCAACCTTGGATCGCATAAAGTGAGTTGTAGTGCACCTCAGACCAGAAACTCAACCACAATCCTGGACAATTCAAAGATAAAAACCATAAGAATGCATTCATGGATATCGAACTGAATTTTGAACCTGATGTCCACAAGATATTGATAGATAGAAATGATAACAGGCTCAAGCTATCACTATAGCATATGTTACTTGTTTACGTATAAATGTAGTCCAAGTGGGAGGACTCTATTAAGTCGGGGTAAAAGACGAGAAACAAAGTCAAATTAACCGATAACTGAACAATCTCATTGAATAAAATGCTTATTTTTATATGAGATTTCACGGAAAGCTTTACATGGAGTGATAAGAGCAGGGAGTGCATGATGAATAACTACTTGAAAATAATGAAAATAATAATAGTAAACAGTTACAGAGTATGATTTTTGAATTTTTTTCCCCAAAAGGAAAAAATATATATATTTCCATTCTTACCATTTTTAGGAGCCTGGCCTCGTGGCATAATTTCAATAAAGCAAGTATCTCTGAATGATGTCAAAAGGCATATTTTCACTGCAAACTGCAAATACACAAACACTGCATATTACATACTGATATGATGGGCTAGGAACTAGCTCAACAGAGTATTGAAGCATTTTACTTGGAATATTGCAAACTCAGAACACATTCACAATACTTGGAAGAACAGGGAATTCTTTAAGAAATAATAATGAGAGAAAAAAAAAAGGATTAACACTTCAGACGTTTCTAACAATATTCTCACAATCGCATCATAATCATCAAATATTTCTGAGAACCAACAAAGAAGTCAACTCAACGGATAATTTCGTATGCTAGCTCCAATGAGTAAACATCTAAGATATATATATATATATATATATGAACATTTTGGACAGATTAAAGGTTATACTATAAAATATAGATGAAACTTGGCAAAGGAACACAAGTTTGAAAGGAGAAGTCACAATTAAGGTCTTTCACTGAAAGCTGAGAAATTTAACCCATTACATTGCTTGTGGAGGGTTAAATATAGAGATATGACAATGACTGTCAGCTTGATGATATGATATGATATGAAAAATATCATGAGCAAGTAATAGAAGGGTAAGATAAAAGAGGCAGGAAATTATGATAGTTTTTATGATGGAATGCAAACCTTGTCAGCAGCTGCTTGTAATGTAACATGGTCCCCCCATTCTCCAGATCTACACAATAAGGCTAATTAGATTTGCAAATGTTCACCATGAGCAAAAAATCAAGTTCAACTAAACTCTAAAATAGAAGAATCAGTTCAGGTAACACTTATTCAGATCAAAACATCAAGTGAAAATGAAACATACTTTGCCATTTTCTTGCAATATTTCTTGTACTTCATTGGAACATATCCTTCATACAAGTTACGGTTTTCTTTAAGCTGAAACATGAAAAAGTAATACAAATAAGAAAAATTAGTCATTTGAAATTAATTACTTTATATATTTTTTTTCATCCTGCAGCTTTCACAAACCAAAAACTTCATCAATTTATTTTTCAGAGAATTCATAGTTGGTGTGAACTTCAAGCAGTTGACCAAATAAGTTCAAGAAAGAAAAATATAAAAGCAGGGTAAGATAAATTGTAATGTATGGAAAGACAGGAATGTTAGCATGCATGCTGTCAGTGGCTAAATGTCTTTATACTGAGTTGGAAGAGTTGCCGTAATTCTTTTAAGTATAATTTTGCATAAGTTCAACAGTTCATGGTGGAAGTTTGGCCCTAACCAAAGTTGCAGGTGGTAAATATATTCAATTTGAATGGTAAAAAATATCATTAGAAGAGAGCTAAATTTTCACTATGGTTATGATTTAGAGACAAAAGGATGAGCTAGAAGAAGTTGCAGCAGAAATGTTTTTCCATAATTCTTGAGGAGACAGCCACTACCGAAGTAGATTTTCAGGGGAGCAATAAGAAGAAAAGTGGTGCTCTTGATGGAGCGAACAGTTAAAAGAAACAATATGGAGATATATACAAGTGATAACAAGATGTTGAAATTTCTACCACGCCTTGTACTATTTTTCTTTGGGGCTATAGGTAAATAGGCTATGAAGCTAATATCTCCAATTGTAATTTAACACCAATGAATTAGGTGAAAATTTTCAAAACCTGAACAGTTGCAACATGATCTAAACACTTAGCAATTAAGGACCTAATATTTGGTTTCACATAAAATATCTATGCCCATATTCACTAGTTAAGCCCCAAAGACATTGTACCTGTTTAACAATATCTTTCCTTATATGTTTGTGATACTCAGGGGACCTGTACATCTGATCTGAAAGTGCACGAAACTGCAAAACAAAGTTATGTGATTTGAATATATAGTCTTAAAGCTTGACTATTTAAAATGAGGTCAAAACATGTGAGAGAGATTAGCTTTCATCATCACTTGGTTTTACTGTACCTGACAGTTCCCATCACCAGTGACCTTCACTTCACATAGACCATAAACTTGGAGCCTGAGAAAAAAGAGGGTTTTACAAAAAAAAAAATTCAATACACATATAGAAGTCTAGCAGCCTCTAAGAAAAGATATTCTCACACGAACTTAATCACAAGTTTCTCAAGTCTCAACTATATTCTAAAAGAAGGAAGAAAGAGGTAAAGCTTCAAAATGTCCATTAAACAAAGGAACAGACATTGAGGATTTTAAAGCTAAATTTCAGGGACCTACTAATGATGTTGCGTGAACCTTAATATTTATGCAATACTTATGAGTCGCGTGCTTGGGAATGCTTACACATAAAATCACATGTACACATATTTGTGAATTATAGAGACAAATGTCTTGTTGCAGCCCTAGGTCTCTAAGGTAAGCATGGACCTTATTAATTTGAACCCTCGGTAAGGGATAAACTCACAAGCTTCAGTAAATTAAAACAACTGTCAGAGGAAAGGTGAAAAGACTAGCAGGTAGATTGCAGAGTGAGGAGCATGCAAGAATTCGGGGATAGCATTTATCTTAAATATCTAATCTCTCCCTAAGATACACTATTTAGTTGATTTATAAATGGATAAATGATTAAAATGTAGGACCAATTCATTAAATCAGTTAAATTCTTCAAATTTTTCAATAAATACAAAGTAAGCCAACGAAGTTGCCTTCCAATTTTTCAGCTATGCTACATAGATATGTATATCCATGATATTTTTGAACATCTTTCAAATGAATGAAGATTAGAAGAATATTAAGAAGCTTTTGAACCATGTTTTTGGAACTGTTAAGCATAATACATACCTTTGTAGAAGACGTTGATGATCCAAACTTGCATCACTTATGCTGGGAATATAGGTGTTTATTTGTGGGACATGCTAAAGTTTCGACAAAGTTTCATTTAAAACAGAAGAATTATCAATAATAAGTAGCAATAACATAATTAATGTAATAAGCAAGAATTGTACTGAGAGGCAGACTTGATAAATAATAAAACAGGAGAACATCAACTGCATTGTTTCTCAGAGATAATGAATGCTTACTGAGAACTGTAAAGACTTATCTTTGTTGAATTTAAGGGGGAGGGGGGGGGAGGAAGATAAAGTCATAAATCCTACTAAAATCGGTTTTAAAGTGAATTCAGATAGACAGATCTATGAAGAAAATATAAACTTCGGAAGTTGAGGGAAGCTAAATATAACTAACAAGAAAAAAGAAGAGAAATTGAAAGTGGAACAGCATACAGGAACAGGTGCAAGAGCAGAAAGGCGCCTAGCAACTGCACCATCTAACTTGGAATATTCCTCTGATAATACAACTGCAATCATCTGGTCATCCTCAGTATCCGGATGACTGCTCCAAGAGGATGAGGTAGAACTTTCACCCATGTACTGAGCTCCATTCCACATACTGCAACTCGAGCCGAGTTCTCAGTCCACGGTATAAAACCAATTAAAACAGGTGCTGACTACTAAAACTGCAAGAGCAAGAAGTTTAACAGAATGAGTACCACTCTTAGATGCCAAAGTAAAGGCATAATAACATGTCTGATCGTTGGTACTCATTCAATTATGATCACATTATAGTTACATTATGAAAGATTGAGGGATTGGTCAAGATTCTAATTGGATTAAGTAATATAAAACAATCACTAAAAGGAAATTCGTAGCCTGAAACATAATATTGACCTAACAGTAAGATTCAAGGATTAAGGAATGAGCTAAAGGATAAGGGTATCAATAATCAATAATGAAGCATACATTCGATTCAACAACAACAACACGACCACATCTATCGAATCTATTACATATTTCTCCAATGGATCTTCCGATTGTTCAAAAAGTAAATACCGATCAGGACACAATAAGTCAAAACATCATCAAGCTCAGAATCTGGACTGAACGGAACGAAAAAAAATCCAACTTACTAATGGAAGAATCACCGGAGATATGCCGTTGGGGATGGTTGCAGCGAGCGGCGAAATATCAATATTCCGAGTCTTGGAAGGGGTCGGATTTATTTATTTATTTTTCTCTCTCTGTGACTGCTTCCACGAATTTCAGCAGAAGAGGAGAGAATATCTTGATCTTATATTAATTTAATTATTTTAGAGTTGAAAAGGGGCGCCTACCCATCCATCGTACAGACCTGGATGAACGAGTGCTCTAATAGGATGAGGATGGCGGAGGGTTACCGCGTTTGGTTGAGAGTTGTTGGGTTTCGCGGTTTCGACGCGCCAAGACAACTCTACCCGCTCCTCACCCTTGTCGTTTTCTGTTTCATCTTGTCCGTTTCAACACACATATCTAACTTTATATGCTATTAGAATTGCGAGTAAAACTGTTTCCCCTTTATTTCGTTTAATGCCATGTGGACAACAACGGAGTCACAGCTCGGTGAAAATGGTACGTATTCGTTTTTAAATTTAAATTTTTTTGATTAATTATTTATTTTATAAATAATATTTATCTAAAATTATTTATCTTGAAAATTTAATATCTATCTTAAAATTTAAATTTTATTCGATTAATTATTTATTTTTTAGATAATACTCACCCTAAAATCTTATTATATCTATCATATTTAAAATATTTATGTCATTGACACATATATATCTATCCTAACAATATTTATGAATATATCACTTCATATCAAAGATATCTTCCTTATATATCATCTAGAGTCAGAACACAATGTTGGAAGGTTCGGTGTTTCCGTGTTGGTCTCAAATTGTGTACGTGTGTGCACGTGTCTTTCTTATATATATAAAACACGTGTGTACATGTGTATATGTAAAACACGTGTGTACATGTGTATATGTAAAACACGTGTGTACATGTGTATATGTACATGGCATCTACATAAATGTTTATTTATATATATATAATTTTTTAGTTTTATATTTTTAATTTTAAATGTTTTGTTTAGCAATTTCAGTTGTTTAATAGATTTACTTATCACATAAATAAACTATTATAATATATTCCATATGACATTTCATATTAAAGTTTATAGTTTACAAAAACAAATCTTTGACATCTATCTCTATGATGTATTATGATCTTTTATCAACGCGTCATAGATGAATTAAAAATTTTGGAATCCAATAATTATTGGTGATGATGATCATCAGTGTCTGACGATAAAAATAGATGGTGATTGGTGATGGTGATAAGCGACAATTAGTGATGAGGATTTTGATCAGATTTAGGAATAAATCTGATATTTTATTTAAAGTTCAATGATCAAATTAATATTATGTTTAAGATAGACTAGTCAAGCTAAAATTGAGGGTTAAAATAATATTATATTCAGTACTTAAATTATTATTTTTATTTTGTTTTGGTAAAAAACTTTATTTTTGGGTAAATTATACGTTTAGTATCTAAATTATTAGTTTTAGTCTATTTTAGTACTTAAACTTTCAAAAAAAAATTCAAAATCATACCTAACGTTTAGTTTTTGTTTCATTTTAGTACTCATCGTTAAAAACTTAATGAATGGGTTGACGAGACATAGCTTTGGTGGACGAACAACCAATCCAAACAGTGAATCACAAGAGAATATTGAGTTGACCAATATAGTCCAATTTCAGGCCATCGAACAATTGAAGACGAAGATCGAAGGATGAAAAAGTTGAAGAGTCCATCATAGATTTGGAGAGATTGAAGCATTTTTCGGTGGAACGGCGGTCGGAATCATGTTTAGGGAGTTGAAAAGGTGCGGGCTATAAAGTATGTGCTTCATCGACCGACAGATGCAACGATCAACGATTGTAGATGCAGTGACCGACGAGCTCATCTGTTAAGTTTTTAACAATGAGGTACTAAAATGAAACAAAAACTAAACATTAGGTATATTTTGAAGAAAAAAAGTTTAGATACTAAAACAGACCAAAACTTATAATTTAGGTACTACTACTACACGTAATTTGCCCTTATTTTTTTAAAAAAATCATACTTAAAGTTTATTTTAGGTTTCAATTTGGTACCCTGCGTTAAATCTTAACATGAGATTTTTTTATATTTTTCAACAATGTCGTGACATTACCTTTTGGTGATACATTAACATCGCCGTTAAGTTTTTAATGGTGTGGTACCGAAATGAAACATAAACTAAATATCATGTATTATTTAAAAAAATAAAGTTTGGGTGTCAAAAATAATTAAAAGTATTATTTTAGGAACTAAACATGTAGTTTACCCAAAATATAAATGATCGGAATATAATATTTTTTAAAAAATAATGATCAAAATAAGACATATTAAAAATAAAAGGGATCATTAATATATTCTACCCTTTAGAACAGTAAAGAAGATGTGACTTCACAACGGCCGCCTCTTAAGCAGCCCATCATACCCCAACGTGGCCTCTAGCTGCCATCCATCCAACGTACCCAGTATTTTTTTTCTCATATAAATAACCCACTCATATAATCCAGGAAACTTACCCTTCCATCTCCATATATTATTCTCCTATTACGTGCACCTATCTAATCTTCTTAATATCCTACCATATATTGTAAAATCTACAACCAATCCTATGGCCAAAACTTCCACAGATATTCGAGTATTTTATTTATTTAATTTTATATTCCTGGCAATTTGGATGTTCGTTGCAGTGTTGATGCACAATTTTTTAATTATTGCGGTGTTACGTAACGTTTTAGACCATAAAAATTATGATGTGATTCTCTTATCGCGTTGCATTAATATCACGTGATGATAATCTTTAAAACCGTTACGATACGATCGTTACATTGCGTTACAACTGTAATTTAGTACTACATGTAGAGGTGCCAAAGCTGGGAAAAGAAGCCGCTACAAAGGCCATCAAAAAATGAGGTCAGCCCAAATCTAAGACTCCTCTGTCAAGAGTGCTGGGAAAACAAGAAGGGTGCTCGTGTTCTCGTGGTCTACTTCGAGATCACGGCTGTCACTTTCCGTGGACCTTCTGACACTCACTTGGTTTCCCTAGTGTGCCAAGTACTTTTTGTTGATGACCTGAATCGCACATTTGATTTTAATAGCTGAATATTTTAACAGAGATTTTTTATATACATAATAATTGAACCTAAAATATTATTTAAACGAAATGAAACTGTTTACCCCTTAAAACAATCTCGTAGATTAATTATGTATTTCTTTCCCTATTTTAGTTGTCTTCAAAAAGAGAGTCAATTAGATTTTTTTTTTAAAAGGAATATTGGAATATTAGGATTTATGATCTTTAACATTTGCATCTTTTTAGAATTTTTTTAATTTACGACGCATATGGCCATATTTGATAGCTTCGAATATTTGAATAAATTATAAAATTTATAATTATTTAATTACTTTTAATATTTATGATGAATTACACAAATTAATATAAATTAGATTTTTGTTGATGAGAATAAATAAGTTATATCAATTGTTGATAGTCTATTCTTCCTAATTTAAATGAAAAATCACAGTCAATGTAAGAATAATCATTAGCAGATAATTTTCTGGTCGAGTGAAGAAGAGAAAGAAGGCTTACAATAGAAGATGAATACCCTAAATCTAAGAGAGGAAAGGGTCCTATTTCTAAATCTAAGAGATGATTCTAGTTAATAGTGTAAATAATAGAGTCATAAAAACTATTCATATGTTAACATAAAATATATTAAAAGTAAGACTAAATTAAAATAAATTAAAATAAAGTTAGTCTTCCAACCGAATGGTGACAAATGGCACCAGTGACACGTGGCATCATTCGATTGTAAGATTAAATTTATTTTAATTTATTAAAAGTAGGATTAAACTTTGAGAATATTTAAACAATAATGACCAAATGAGTGATTAAACAAAAATGTCACGTCAGCTAATCAATTAACGACAATTAACCCGTAGTGATCACATCTTAATTATATAAAAACGAAAGTGACCATATATTAATTAAATAAAAGCGAAAATGCTCATATATTATGTTTTTTGAAATCAGTGAGGAAAAGTGAACAAAATACAAATATAAGTAATCAATCACGTAGTTAACCCAAAAAACTGACTGTTCTTTTTCTTTAGTTTATACTGATTTCTATAGATCATATTATTTTTTTATTTTGTTTAGTCGGTGACGATTTCAATTTTGATGTTGATTATTGATCGACTGTTCTTTTTTCTTTATTTTTTTAGTTTTTAATAAGAATAATTCTGTTTTGTGACACATTTTTCTATCTTTGTATCACATTTTCTGTCTTCTTATTTGGTCTTTTGGCATTTATTTTTATTTTATGTTTTTCAGGATTAGATTTGACAACGCCATAACTGATCAAAATGACATTTATTTTTAATCATGTTAATCTTTCTTGTTATGGATCCTCGAATTGAATTTGGATAGACAATTTTACATTCGTAAATAGTTTTTCATGATGCTCAGCTTTAATTTATAGTTCTCGGTGATCTTTCAATAGTTTAACCATAGTTTGTGGTTTTTTTCCAGTGCAATAAGAATTATTGATATCTATTTTTCATTTGAGTATTTTGATTGGATTTTTAACCTTTTCATGTATGGTCATTGTACGATCTAAAGTGACCAATTTCAATTTTATAGGAAAATGTTCAAATTATGTATTTAGTTTATGATAATAACTATAAATCCTTATCGTAATTTAGGATGTTTTTACTTTTTAATAAGACCAAGAACTTATATTAAAAAAATTGTGTATATTTTAATAATTTTACGTATTCATTATCTTGTATGGAGTAACATTTTAATAAAACAAATACTAGGGCTTACGTACATTTTTAATTTAAGCATGAATGATTTTTGTCTGTTTTGTGAGCACTTTTTTTTTACGTTACAAAAAGTTTAGGTTAGGGGTGGTTACCCCAGTCTATAACCATGACATATTTAAGATCCAATTGGAATTTACATAGAAATTTATTGATTGTTCACCAAAAGTGACGGTGATAGGATTCAAACTTGACCTTAGCCCAAATTCCTAAATTTCAATAACTTGTGTCAACACTCATCGGCACCTTCTATGTTGGTATAAGCCAAATATTTTTGAAGTATTACCGGAAAATGTACGTTTTGGATATTATAATGTTGCCTGTTTCTTAGTTATAGATAAAATATACTTTTTTATTAAAAAATGAATAAAATTTCAAAAGAAAGTGAAGACTCTCGTATAAATAACCCACCCATATTGTTGAGGCAACGTACCCTTCCGTTTTCTTATCTTGTTCTCCTAGTTCCTAG